CATGCTTAACATCAGACACATCGCTACAATTAACAGACAAGTCACCATGGCTTACTTTCCTGTTTGCATCCAAGACGCTCTGTCCCTTCTTTGACTCAGGCATTGTTGAACTTGGCCCAATTCCAAAAATGTTCCAGATATTGCTTGTTCAAAGAGGACTTGACCGGCACCAGGAAAGATGAACGGTGACTATCGAAACTTTCACCAACTGTCTGAATCCGCCAGAATCTGTTTCTACCGTCAGAAACTGTCAGTCACGTCTCGTAAACCGATAATGCCCAGCTCTTACTACGCTCGGGCTCACGCTGTTCCTTGAAGTTTTTCAGAAACGCTTAGTAATAACGGACGAAAAAACCAAAACACCAGTTGTTGACTCGAGGATTCTTTATTGTAACACCAACATATAAATCAAGTATGACTAAGGTCTCTGAACAAATATTACAATAATAAATCACAGTATTACTTCTGACGGTGTTTTACTCTTCTTTCTGAACAGCTACCGATGAGACGATGACTGTCGTATTGATGCCTCCGCGAAAATTGGGGAAGTTGGTTTTGAGCAAACAACCATGAATTGATCGTTCAATCTTCAACTACATTGACAACTCTCTTCTGTGGCATTCTATTCAACAATGGCTTACGAATTGCAACTACAGACTTCTTGACCGCACCGTTATCGTCACACAATTCGGAGTCAGACCTTGATTTCACATTTAGCTTATCACTAAACTTGCTCACTGATTCACAGTTCACCTTTGTATGCACCTCTTGCAAACGTGTAAAACACAACCGTGTTTGTCTTGTATCTTGTAACTTGTTGTAACTGTTGAGGATGTACTACGAAACCTGTTACACTCACTAGGTCTATATGCATTACTAGGCATCATGGAGCCTTCTCGATATCCACCTCTCTGAGGCCTATTCGTCATCAATGATTGCGTTTTTCCCTCAGACTGCTCTATTCTAGGGGTGAGATGTGATAGTCTGGCGAACTTGCTCCTAGATAGATTGACGCTATCTTTTACTAGTTTCAGGATATCATCAAACTTTGGCTCGATACCTTCATCCTCCAAACGGGAGCTTATCTTCATCCACTTCCTTTGCAGTCGAGTAGGTAGGCGTCTTGCTATTACTTCTAGTATAAAACTCGAGTTGAAGTCACTCATGCAATTCATCGAAATCAATGCATTCTTGTAGGTCAACAGGTTATCCAAATACTCAGTGAGTGCCTGGGAGTCATCCTGTAATTGGCCACCATTACCCTTAACAACCTCGAATAATTTCCCTGCAATCATTGAAGGTCTTCCAAATCTTTGACGTAATATGCTCATAGCCTCGTAGTAGCCCACTTTTGGCTTCATATACTTACAGCAGTGTATAGCCTTTGCAAAAACACCAGTGCAATACCTCATCAAATACATTAACTTCATTTCATGAGTTAAAAAATGTCTACTCAACATGATTTGAAATTGCCTTACAAACTGTAAATATTCGGCCGGGTTTCCGTCGAAATACCGTGGTTCAAATTTAGGGAGTTTGATGTTCCTATTATCCCTGGACGGCGAAACAGTAACATCAACCATGTCATGCTTAACATCAGACACATCGCTACAATTAACAGACAAGTCACCATGGCTTACTTTCCTGTTTGCATCCAAGACGCTCTGTCCCTTCTTTGACTCAGGCATTGTTGAACTTGGCCCAATTCCAAAAAAGTTCCAGATATTGCTTGTTCAAAGAGGACTTGACCGGCACCAGGAAAGATGAACGGTGACTATCGAAACTTTCACCAACTGTCTGAATCCGCCAGAATCTGTTTCTACCGTCAGAAACTGTCAGTCACGTCTCGTAAACCGATAATGCCCAGCTCTTACTACGCTCGGGCTCACGCTGTTCCTTGAAGTTTTTCAGAAACGCTTAGTAATAACGGACGAAAAAACCAAAACACCAGTTGTTGACTCGAGGATTCTTTATTGTAACACCAACATATAAATCAAGTATGACTAAGGTCTCTGAACAAATATTACAATAATAAATCACAGTATTACTTCTGACGGTGTTTTACTCTTCTTTCTGAACAGCTACCGATGAGACGATGACTGTCGTATTGATGCCTCCGCGAAAATTGGGGAAGTTGGTTTTGAGCAAACAACCATGAATTGATCGTTCAATCTTCAACTACATTGACAACTCTCTTCTGTGGCATTCTATTCAACAATGGCTTACGAATTGCAACTACAGACTTCTTGACCGCACCGTTATCGTCACACAATTCGGAGTCAGACCTTGATTTCACATTTAGCTTATCACTAAACTTGCTCACTGATTCACAGTTCACCTTTGTATGCACCTCTTGCAAACGTGTAAAACACAACCGTGTTTGTCTTGTATCTTGTAACTTGTTGTAACTGTTGAGGATGTACTACGAAACCTGTTACACTCACTAGGTCTATATGCATTACTAGGCATCATGGAGCCTTCTCGATATCCACCTCTCTGAGGCCTATTCGTCATCAATGATTGCGTTTTTCCCTCAGACTGCTCTATTCTAGGGGTGAGATGTGATAGTCTGGCGAACTTGCTCCTAGATAGATTGACGCTATCTTTTACTAGTTTCAGGATATCATCAAACTTTGGCTCGATACCTTCATCCTCCAAACGGGAGCTTATCTTCATCCACTTCCTTTGCAGTCGAGTAGGTAGGCGTCTTGCTATTACTTCTAGTATAAAACTCGAGTTGAAGTCACTCATGCAATTCATCGAAATCAAGGTATTCTTATAAGTCATAAGATTATCTAAAAACTCAGTAAGTTATTTGGAGTCATCTTGAAGTTGACTGCCATTACCTTTGACAGCTTCGTATACGTTCCTTACAATCATTGAAGGTCTTCCAAATCTTTGACGTAATATGCTCATAGCCTCAGCGTATCCCTCATTAGGCGCATGAGCTTACAGCACTGTGTAGCTCTTGAAGCATCTCCAGTGCAATACCTCATCAAATACATCAATTTCAATTCATCACCTAATAAAAAAACTACTCAGCATGATCTCAAACTCCTCTACAAATTGTAAATAATCAGCCGGGTTTCCATCAAAACATCGTGGTTCAAATTTAGGGAGTTTGATGTTCCTATTATCCCTGAACGGCGAAACAGTAACATCAACCATGTCATGCTTAACATCAGACACATCGCTACAATTAACAGACAAGTCACCATGGCTTACTTTCCTGTTTGCATCCAAGACGCTCTGTCCCTTCTTTTACCCAGGCTGCACTGATCTTAAGCACAATTCCCGAAAATTTCCGGAAAACCCTTTTTATAAGAAGATTTAGCCGGCACCAGGAAAGATTGATGGAGACTATCCAAAATGTAACAAACTGTCACCGACCGTCAGAAACTGTCAATCACTTCTGAAAACCGTTAATGCCCAGCTCTTTCTATGCCGGGCCTCTGGCTCTCCCTCGAAGCCTTTCAGAAACGCCTAGTACTAACGGACGCAAAAACCAAAACACCAATTGGCGACTCGAGAATTCTTTATTCTAACACCAACATATGAGCAGCATAATAACTAAGGTCTGTGAACACTATTACAATAATAAATCACGATTTTACTTCTGACGGTTTTTTACGTGCTTTCTGAACAGCGACCGATGAGACGATGACTGTCGTATTGATGCCTCCGCGAAAATGTAGGGAAGTTGGGTTTGAGCAAACAACCATGAATTGATCGTTCAATCTTCAACTATATTGACAAATACTTATCGATTCCTGTACATTTAGTGTGTCCCACACAGGTAGGAAAATATATGTATTTTATTAATTTATCATTATTAAGTATGCTTGCTAATCGTATGTGGAATTTACCATATTGATGATGCCGGTAAACCGGCGTCCCTCATGTCAAATTCAGAATACATTATTATCATTATATATACATATATGTATATTTGTATTTTTCATATCAACCCCCACATTACATTTATAAGTTGACAACCACATCTGCCTAGCATTAACTGTATATTCAAGCAGTAACACTATCACTTAGTAGGGTGTTTTGTTGTGGCACTCCATACACTTAGAGGTCTCAATATGTTGGATGAAAATGATTAACCTGGGGCTAGATGGCTGCGTGTATCATTGACTTTGAAGAATGTGACGACTGGTGAAATGGACGTTGGAATATGATTTGGTTTGTGTTTTAGATAAGAGCATATTCCAAATAACTGAAAAATCATCTTAGCCAGTGAAGAACCAAATTTCCCAGCAGAAGGTTGCTTTTATCAGTGTCATGGAAAGTGTGTCGTTGAAATCCTAGGTTCCAGGACGTCACTAAATCCTATCTCTTTTACAATCGACTTCCCGAAATTATTAGACCACCAGCCTAATCAAGCCAATCTTCAGCTGTGTCAGATGGTCTATGGAACCAGTAAGAAAACTTTCATCCCCTATCAAATACATAACTGAAATATATTCACTACTTGCTTCCAAGATTCAGAAAGAAAAAGCACCATTATAGGCCCAAGGGTTGCACTCTCAACCTTCACTACTGACTTTATAAAGATGTAGGGACACAGTAGTTTGCCGATTCTGGAGGCTGTAGAACTTTCATAGTACAATATAAACATATTAAAATATGACCAGTATATTAATGTACGTTCAAATAGTGGAAATGTGAAAATCTTGTAAACATACTGAAGTCTTACGTCAAGCAATGTACAGCGACGAAATGTCACTGGGTAGCTAACTACATTATATGCTTTTCAGCACGAATACTGCCCACTAACTGTGCTCAGGCTTCCATCCTGATTTATTTTTAATTAGGCAAATCTACTCAGGCTTCCAAAACTCATCACTTCTGTAGGCGTTGACTTACATCTAAGTTATGGTGCATCCTTAAAGCAGTTAATGGTACTATTTGCCTCGGTACAATGAATAGTAACTTCAACAAAATTGAAATCTAGATCTTCATAAGAACCCGCGTCAAACAATAACTGCGTTACAAAGGCCGTAAGCCTTTGGTGTAAGTACATGTCTTTTTGTTAAGAAGAGTGCATGGCAGATTTCGGTGAATATTTTCAAAACGGTAACGAATGTTTTATTTCAATGCTGATTTTCTGAAACAATTTAACTATATAGAATGTTTCATGAAATTAATGTGTCAAACCGGAGTTTGTGGAGTTTTTAATCGCTGTTATGTTGTAACTTTATTTAGATCTTCTGTGATACTCCTTTCGGCTTTTTCTCAGCATGGGTTTTTTGCCAAAGGACTATTCCACTTCTGTCTCGTCATACTTTCCAGTCGTATAATTTTTTCAGACCTGGGATATGTAGGTAAAAACGTGGGCAGTTTTCCGTTTAAAGTTGGGCAGTGGGGAAAGGGGGAGACATGGATAGTGTGGAAAAATATGGGAAATCGGAAAAATATTCATGCGAATTCTTCATATGCGCTTAGTGCTGTTCGCAAAGTTACGAGCACTATCCTAATTGAACTGTGTCATTTGGTCTTCCGCTAAGATACGGACTTTTGACTGAGGATAGAGGGCTTAAAGGCTGTTCTAATTAGAATTTTTGCTTGTCCAATTCCTTCTTCGACGAGTCGATTGTAGATTCTGATGCATCATTTGGGAATCAGTTCCAGCAGTTAGTGACTTGTTTGGAGAACCAGTACTCCATCGCGATACAGTTCCTCCTTGACTTTTGAACTGTCTTGCTATTTCTTTTGAAGTGTTACGACCTGATAGAAAATAAAACAAAGATACACCAAATTCATGGTCATGTTTTAGAGTTGTGAGCGTCGCCAGATCTCTGCCTACAATATTACGAATAAGAAGTTTAATGTACTTAGTCGTTCCAAGTATGATAAATCGACATACCAGGAATTATACTTGTGACCTTCCTCTCTATACTTTAGAATGAGTCCCCTTTTAGAAATAGACAGAGTGTCTGGATGCAATTTTCTAACCTTGTCCCCTCTAGAGATGTGTATAAAGTGGTAAAAATTTCACCGGTGTCTGATCCAACCGAATGTTCAAATGTCTGCAAAGTAAGTTTATCGCTTTTATCCTCCAACCCCCCCCCCCAAATTTTTAGGCTATTTAAGTAGAGAACCATAGGAGATTCAGTGAGCTCTGGCTTATCAACATGATAAACAAAAGTAGGCCGAGTTCAGTATTATGCTGTACACCCTTACCGTCCAGAAAGAGAGTTTCCAGTTGTTCCTGGTTCTCTTTCTTACTTACGAGAGATTTATTGATCCAGTTAAGTGTGCCACCCTTGATTCCAAAACTTTTCGATTCCGAGAGCAATCGTGTGTCTGGCAGTTTGATAAAAGCTCTGCTGAAGTGCATGAAAACAACACCGATAGATCTCTTGTTGTCCCTGGACTTGACTCAGCTTTTCTTTTCTGTGAAGTTTTTCAGACACGAAATATCACCTCGGAAAACGTTCTGTGTGCAGATAAAGTGTTGTTCTTCAAATATGATAGCTTTCTGGATTATTCTTTTCAATATCATGATCAGGATCATGGCAAGATTAATAAGCCTTCAATCTGAAGGACAGTGCTTAGGTCTTGTCTTATGGGTAAAGGTTACTACTGCATCCTTCCAATTACGTGGCAACGCTAAATGTGAGAGGAATAACCTAAATATAGTAGTTACTTGGTTGATTATATGAGCTACCAGCTACTTAAGCAGCCTTGGGTGAAGATCACCAGGTCCCATTGACTTTCCTACATCTACTTTGCTGACGGATTGAAATGTGATATTTTAGTCGATATCGAAACAACCTATTCCGTTTCCTTGTGACGGGATCGGCATGTTGCTATGGTTTGTGGCAACTACTGTGCTAAACCTTGGTGAAATAGTCGGTCATCGCTTCAGCTTTTTCTTGGTCCTTTTTGTTTGTGTCTGTGTCAGTAAACGGTTTAGTTTTTCCTTATATTTTCACACTTCGGAATGCATGTCCTAGTTTTTGTAATACCCTGGGTTCGTATGTGAGAAAATGAATAAAAAATAAGGTAAAACTTGGGAGATTACTAGTAATATCTGTATTTTCCCTCTCCTTCTTAACCATTTGAGTAATATATTTGGAGTTCACCCAGTTACTCAAGGCGTCAAGTTTATTCGTCCATCTAATTTACTCAAGGATATTATAAAGACGCCCTCTCACAATGTACTTGTTCATTTTTCCTCGACGGGCAATGTTAGCTGACATAGGGTCAGGGTGGAAAAGAGCGAGTAGTGGTCAAATCAAAAGATGGCTTCACCAGTCAGTGAAATCCATAACAGTTAGTTTAAACCAGCCAGCCACGTCGGGAAGTGTAGGCTTCCTGGTTGAGGTCCTCGGGACGGTAGACACCAATGGCTGGAGACAATTGGTGATGTGGCCCAAAATCGTTCTCAGTGATAGCGCAGATGCATCCACTCTCTGTGACTTGTCATATCCGATAAAGCTCTATTGTCCTTCAATATTACTGTTCTTTTTGCCTCATATCTCTGTTTAGAATCTCTTTTTACTTTCTTCTTCTTCTCTGGCTTTATGTGCTAAGTGAAGTGTGGTAACTCGAACTGCTGCACATTGGTGCAAAGTCCTATGGTAAGACCAGTCAGTCAGCGTTGTGCGTAGGATCCACTGTAGGTATTTTGGAATTGGCATTTAGGTGATACATGAGTAATCAATCATTTTTCAAGTATTCTAGTTATTTAAACTAAGACATACATTACGTTTTCCATTGTGAACTACTCATTCGAAACAAGTTTTCTGGTTTTAAGAATATGTTGTTACGGAGTAATTGAGCTATGTAATATTGATTTTTCTCCACTGTTTTTATATGTAATAGCTACCAAGTATTCTACTTTTATGTCTTGTCTTGAATTTCAGGCATGGAAAGACTAGATTCCTTGCTTTGTCGATTGGAAAAGGTAACAGTTCTTCTTGAAGCAGTGGCTAATAACAAGGCTGATATGTATCGGACTTCACCAATTAAAATGTCCCCAGGTAGGTTAGAATTTTCATCATTTCACATTTCAATTTTAAGAAAGTGGGACTGCTCTATCAGTCAGGGAATTTCATGAGATCATCACTGGTCCGTTATCGGAATATTTGCTTAGTAGTTCTAAAATAGGCGATGTTGTCAAAACTCATGTAGGTTTCTATGCCAAGTTATTGTCGACCTTACGGCGTATTTCTTCCAGGCGTCTATGATACAGAAGTGTTTTGTATTACAAGAAGAAGTAATGAAATTGGCCGCCGAATGTTCTGCACCTAGTGACTCTGAATTCGGAGTTATTATCAGTCCTTTGGCGAAAGAAATAGAAGCAGTTGTTGTAATTATATAATTACTCCTTAAAATTATTATCCTTGCAGACATTTAGGGATACAAATCGAAGCAGCAATTATTTCAACCACCTTTCAGCTGTGTCTGAATCTGTAGCAGCTTTGGGTTGGCTGAGTGTTGTAAGTTTCTAATAAGTAATATTTTTCACTTCTTAGAAACCTGCACCATCAGCCTACGTTAAAACTATGCAAGAAGCCGGTGAATTTTATACAAATCGTGTAATTAAAGAATATAAAGAAAAGTGAGTTATTTCTCACTTCTTTTTCGTTTAATTTTTCACTGTGTAAATCATTTCGATTGGTAGTTTGCTGGCTTTTTAAATAGTTGTACGATAAAAGCAGTCTATCCCAACTCAAATCTAGAAGATGGACTTGATTTTTTGAATATGAAAAACTATAGACGCTACATTTCAAGATGATATTTAAGCTTTAGTTCGAATCTCAGTAAACAGCTACAATTTCAAACTATATTAGGTAGCCACGTAGTGTCAAGACCTCGTACTAGTTATAATTTTTTAATTAATACACAACTTTTTGTTTGGTAGTTGAATTAAGTGGGAATGATAGATGTAAGATTCAAATGGCTTCTTAATTTAATATCTCGACTGGTGACTGTTACCTTGATTTGGTGGTCGGGCTTGCACACCACAGTAACCCAACGAATTCCACTGGTTGAGACTAACGTCCCTAGAGGTCGTTTAGATAGCGGTAAACTAAAAGCAATTACTGTCATGGTGTAATTTGCCTACACTACGTTGGGGGTCTTAAGACGAAGTTATACTGCTGAACAATAAGTTTGCGACAGCAGTAAGATGTTTCCTTCTGGTGACTAGCATGCCATCTATGCTACCTCTCCACTCTCAAAAGGGGGCTTTAGGAAAGATCCACCCTACCTCGTAGCGATCCCTAACCATTGATAAGATCTGAATACAGTTGCAACTCTAGAAACCACTTCAGACAGGCTAATTATTCCCTGGGCTCTGTGGTCACGCATTAGTGATGCTTCTATTTCAGGCACCCCAGGAAGAAGTCCACTTCCATGGCATGGGTAGTCGGGAAGCAATTACCACCTACACACTTAAATAAGCACACAAAGCTTTCCTGTAATTTAGCGTGTGTGGTACTTGATAACTACTCAATCAATTCCGAAAATTGCATTTACAACACTTTTTAGACTTTCATATTTAAATAAACTGTTTGTAAGCAACGTCAGTTTCTGATGAAAGCCACTTTGGATTCAGTTGCTTTAATCCTAATACATATTACTGAAATGCATTGCTTGATGTTTTTCTTGCCGTTCAGGTCCAGATTTCAGTGAGTTTATTCAACTCTGCTGTAATTATATACTGTGTAGATTTTTCAGATGATCGTATATGAGCCATGTATAGAAGAATATTTAGATTGATTGTTCCTAATCGTCGAAATGCCATTAGTCATTTAAATATATGGCGTTACAGATATCGTTGTTGCTTCGTTTGTAAAAACGTTATTGTAGTCACTTACTCATCTTATTAAAGTCGGATAATAGGTTATTTATTTTTTTATGTAATTCAGTGTGTAATAACCCCTTTTTCAGAGTTTCCTGTAATTAGTGCAACCTGTAAAACATTAACTTCACTTCTTCCAGGTCTAATGTAATTATAATGATATATTATCACTTAATATTATGACCCTGACATTTACAAATGAATCTAGGGTATTCAATCTCTCTCACTCTGTAGAGATTTTAGAAGTATATTAATGTCATATATTACTATTAATTAGTGATAAGTACTCAATGGATAATCAGAGGGTAAACTTTTATGCGCCTAAACTCTTGTTTGAATTCAGTTCCCGAAACATGTTTTTCATATCCTAGACTTTGATTCACATTTGTATGAGGGCTGTCGATACTACCCAGTTGCCCACAGTAAAGTAGGTGGAGTGCGATTCTAACCGGGAACTTATTCACTGACTGGAAGTCGAGTGCTTGAGCCAGTTAGTCATGTTTCCTCGCTTAAAATCTCTGACAAGAGCTTATCAACTTCTCAAAAGGCTTATATAATAATAAGTTACAAAATAATATTGGTTTATACGTATTCATTCTCATCATGTTTGATCAAAAATGTATGTGTAAACAATTTCACTTGTTATTTGTAGGGATGCAATTCACCTTACTTGGACAAAAAATCTCATGTCAGTTTGGACCGCATTACAAGCCTATGTAAAGAAACATCATGTTACCGGTCTGGTGTGGAATGCTCGTGGTAAACCAGCTACAGCCTCAAAACTATCTAAGTCATCGCCAACTCGTGAAGTCAATTCTCATACCGCTGCTGCCGCTCCACCGCCTCCACCACCTGTCCTTACGGCTTCTGATTTGGCTGCAATGTCCATAGTGCGTCAAAACAAGTTTGTTTTTTATCATGAAAGTGTATCTGAAATTATTTCATGTCCTTAATAATATTTGCTAAGAAATATTACCGTCAGCCATAGCAAACAATATTTACGAAGTGGAAAAGAATGAAGTTCCACTCAAAAATCACGTATATTTACATACCACACCTGTTGTACAGAACATGATACCACTTTACTGTTCAAAAGTCGATTAGTGGAGTCGGATTTAAAACTGTGGCATAGTGATTGAGTTAACTAACTTATAATCACCGGATCATCTCTCTATACTTCCAGCAACTGTTTTGGTAAAGCTTAGAAGGCAGATATCCTTAATAAGTTTACTGATAAGTTTTGCAAATCCACTAGCTTCTAGCTCCAACTTTAAAACAGCTTTTTTTTTATATATTTTCAACCCAAAATGTTGATAAGCTTGGGAAATTCTTAGGTGAAGGCAGCAGTTTGCTTTTTTATCATCTCTTGCATTCCAAGTGGAACATAGAGCTTCAAACTTCAAGCTCCGAAGTTTCACCTACGAGGATGCTGTTTTTACGCAGTGGGGTCACTAGTTTCAAAGCCAGCCTCTCATCTTTTCAGGTCTTACTATCGGCTAGGTCAGGTTTGGGCTTATAATGGCCGGGTAATCGAAACCCGGACCATCTGTGCTGTTGGCGAGTACTCTACCCCTGGGACAGAATCCAAAGGCTCATAAATCCTAACTTCTGTCAATTTGCGATGTATAGCGAAACCGCCAGTCAATGTTCACACACTTGACTTGGCTAAATCCACTGGTCACGACTTATCACTAGAACTCCAAGCACTTTTATCCTGCAGTTGGTCACTGGTGTGCATTAGATTAATTTTCAACTGTTGGTTTACAAGTTGGCTGAAGTTAGAATTCTCGGGTCATTGGATTCCGTCCCCAGTGACTGAGTGGTCAACAAGCTCGCCTTGTATTATGAAGGCTTTAGGTTCAAACCCCACTGAGATCACGAGTGTTTACCACTGAAGGGTCTCAAGAGGGAACGAAACACGTATCCAATATCCCCTGGTTTTCAGTGGTACCCTAATTGAAGTCAATTTGCTATCTAACTAAATCATTAATTCATGTCTTCTTTTGCTATGAAAATTTTTTATATAAGTTTTTGTTAGCCACCGTAGTGTATGTATGTGTGTGTGTGTAAAAACTAATTAGTTCCAGATTACTGGTTGCTGTGTATACTTACAACTGGTCTTAATGTCTGTTTCTCTTCTTTGCTTATAATTTGAGTACTCTATACACCAATTAAACTATTTAAAAGAATGGATTCTCGCATACTCTTATTTGTGTACTGTTTATCTGTTTTCTTATATATCGGTATTTTAATAAATAATTTTTTTTCTAAAACTTCCTTTCTATATATCTAATTAGCAAGGAGGTGATAATTCAGCACAAGCTGCTCTATTCGCTGAATTAAATCGTGGTGAGTCAGTGACATCTCATCTACGCAAGGTTACCGATGATATGAAAACACATAAAAATCCAAAACTACGTGAAACACCAATCACGCATACAACACCAACACCAAGAAATCATATGAATTCATCACCAGCATCGGGAGTAAAGAATGAATTGTCTACAGCTGGTTGTTTAGAATTAAGAGGCAATAAATGGGTTGTTGTAAGTCATGCCACTTTTTTAGTATTTAATGCCTATAATTCGTCCTATTGTCGTCAGTAGTTTAAATTTATTTCACCTTTTTTTTGAACTTGTGTACTTTATTTTTGTGTTATGAAGTAGTTAAAGTCATGAAATGCAGACTGCTGAATATCGAATCAATGACTTTTCAAGTAGAATTGCTGCTGGCGGTGGTGGTTTCAACATAGAACTTTACACCGATGTGCAGCAATTTGAGTCGCCACACTCCCTTCATGTAGCACACGAAGTCAGAGAAAGGGGTAAAAGGAAACGCAAAATAGAGACGGTAAACAGAGATATAAGGCAAAAAGAGTAGTAATATCGAAGAACAATATAGTTTTCTTGGGTACTATAAGTTACAAGGAGTGGATGCATCTGCACCAGCCAAATGAGAACGATTTTTAGCCATATCACCAATTATCTCCAGCCTTCATTGGTGTTTACCGTCCCGAGGACCCCAACCAGGCAGTCTACACCTTCCTATGTGACTGGCTTAAATTAACTCTTGTGGATTTCCGTGACTGGTGAGGCCATGCTTTGGTTTGACCCACCACTCGCTCCTTTTCAACCTGACCCTATGTCAGCTAACATTGTCCGTCGAGGAAGGCGATGACTAGGCATGCATGCGTAACACATATCCTAACCATCTCAGTCGATGTAGCTTCACAGCTTCATCTATTGATTTACCCTCCTTACCTAACACTCGACGCCTAACCTCAATATTGCTCAAGTAGAACTTAGATTCAGAAATTATTCACGAAGGCATTTGAGAATGTATGGCTAAAAGTCGTTTTATATCATAACTAATATAATTGTTAAATAAGGCTACTTTCATTGTTGTTAGCAAAGAAGCAGTGTCTTCTGAGCGGTTGTTTTCTTGCTAAAGGTTATTCTGTATTGCTTGTGACCGTTTCTTAGAAGGTTAAGCCATATATCTGCAAATAGTATTTGCACACGTTAAGTCTGCTGTGATTGGTTGGTGAGTTCTTCTAGGTTAAGCTTTGTTATTGTTTTTCTCATGACTCCGATTCGGAACGTAACGTTGACGTAAATTGCCGTCTACAATTTTCGGCTTGCAGCTAGCTGTCACCACAAGGTAACTACAATTAATGACTGGCTCTCAAGTTGTAAGCGATAAATAATTAGGCTGAAATTCGAGGCATTGTTATTAGGTAAATTTAGTCTACTTAGTATGGAGTATAATGTATTGCAGCAATAATAATGTCCGACCTCATAAGGCAAATTTAAGATTAGTTGGAATACGGCAGATAACTTTATATTCTTTGTGTGACATCAACATAATTAGCTAAAACGGACCTACAGACAGATCTTAAGCATGCAAAATGTTGCTCAGAAATCCAATGATGAAGGATCAGCTGTTCGACTAGATTGTGCTCATTACATTACATCCAGTGAAACTCGTAATATTATCTGGCCATATAGATGAAATAATATTAATACTACTATGATGTCGGTAGTTCAGGAGTAGAATGTTCACCAACCACCCACTTAGTCTGGGTTAAACTACCGGCTGGCGCACTCCTAAACCTCGCATAACTACCAGTAGTAAATCCGAAAAAGATGGAAGGTTAGCAGGTTAGGCTAGTTCTTTTTTCTCTTTTCTTTTTCCTTCACGTTCCCAGTGGAACATAGGGCTTCAAGCTAGTGGCTTGAAGTTTCTGTAGCAGTGTTTATTTTTACAGGATGGGGTTGCTAGCCCCATACCCGACCTTTCCTCTTTACCAGCATTATTTCTGGCTTAGCAAGGTAAAGGAATGCGTCGGTCGGGGATCGAATTCCGGACCATGTGCATGGTCGGCGACCGTCCTAACCGCGGGGCCACCGGCTAGTAACCTCATCCAATAAAAACAACTCAAACGCTAATTTAAACTTCAAACCTTGAAAGCCTACTCTCCACTCGGGAGGCAAAGGAATGAAAAAGATGTATTACTACTAATACTAAACTATAAGTATCTGAGTTTATGGTAGTGTGAGTAGTCGACGGTTAAGTCTGTCCTAGCGATTTCATTGTTAACTGCTATCACTATTAGGCATATAATAGTACTCACCTTTATTCAATACTTAACTCTGTACAAACTTATTGAATTGTATTATATATATATATATATATATATATATATATATATATATATATATATATATATATATATATATTGCAATTCATTATCACTGTTTGTATCATATGATTAAGGTTGCATAAAAACAAAACTATTCCAGTGTAGATGTGTATCTATGCAATCGGTTTGTTTCTCTCTCTCTCTCTCCACTGAGATGTACATGACTAATTTGTCTAAATATTTGATAATAATAATCATAACACTTTCGTCCTGATTAGTATAAACTTCTAGTTGTGTATGTTTTTCTGCTAAACTACACATACTGTAGTGAAATTAAAATATTTAAAAAAAAAATTAGGAATTGCGTTAAGTAAAAAAATTTAAAAGCTGCCATAGATCAATCAATATTCTCCGAGTGTTAGTTAACAGACATTTGATTGATTTCAAGTTTCATCATAAACTATGACTTATACATCAGTTTGAGAATACTAGAAAGCTGTTTTGTGTTAGTTTGGGATTCTTCAGGAAGCAAGATGCACTCACGACCTCACCGCTAGTGACCGAACCAATTTTCTTCAGGTTACAAGGCGAGATTATTGATGATTCAGCTACTTGGATGCGTCGGTGGCACAGTAGTTAGGACTCTCGCCGACCATGCACATGGTCCGGGGTTCGAGCCCACGCCGGCGCACACCTGATATCTATGGTCGGCCTGCAAAATTTGGGCTACCGATATCCATGCTGAAAATTCCATACTTGTACCAAAAATACGGTGTGGAATCAAGCTGTAAATAAAAAATAAATAAAATAAAATCCAATAGTCCATGTATACTAACCTTTGCCTCTTTGTGATATATAGCGTAAATGACAGTCAATATTTATCAAGTTAAGGAGATGCTGTTTTACGAAGTAGGAACTTGAATAAAGCAAAAACAGCGTTTAAAGTAGAATATATTGATATCATTTCATTTTACGAGTTTCCTGTCAGATACATACTGCAACCTATAAAATTTTTCACCAAGTGTATGTTCTGAAATGTTTTCAAAAGCTACACACAAGGTTCAGACTAATTAAAAAGGTCTGGATACTTTGGAAAAATAGTGGCGTGATAATGTGTTGAGTTCAGCTCAATAGAAACGTTTCCAAAAAACTTGTATAAACCAAACCATTGTGTAACCAAATAAAAAGCAGGAGTTAAGCGATAGTGTTAGCGAGACAAAGAAAGACAGAGAATTGCCTCTCTTTTAGACACGAAATACTCACTATCTCAACTGATTAATAAACTGGTGTTAAACTTTGCACTGTTGTGAATCACTTGAAAATTTCACACTGAAACAATGAAGCTTTAGTAGTACATTTCCATTGGACACACTCGATTCTCTTCTGTTACTTTCAACTGACTCTACAACTGCCGAAAAAGCTTTCATTTCTTCTTCACATACATCTCCTCCATATCGCCCTTGGACGTCTAACGTATCACTTCCTATTCGGCTTCTCCTTGATGGGCTCTCAGCGTATATCCAGTCCATCTCCATTTTCTTCTGCATATTTGTCTGACAAGAGGTTCTTGATTGGTAAACAAACTAATGCACAATACATTATTGGCTAAAACCCAGTTGATTTCAATTATAAGACTAAAATCAGTTTACCATCCTTAGGAATATAATTTAGTACTTATATTTACTTGTCAGTATTTCACTATCAGACTAGGAAAACTGGAATGATCAGTGTTACGCAACAGTCACTTGCATTTTCATATAATTGACAATGAGCCACAACAAATGCTGCATGAGGGGAGGGGCTCTTAATAATTGTCTGACTGGTCAAACCTCTGCAGGTGTGTGCAGCGGGATCTGAACCCTTGACCTGTTGGTTGGAAGTCAACAGCTGTAGACCAATAATCCACAGCTCCATATGAAATGAGACACTAATCCCGAAACCCACTGACTGAAAGTTGAGTGTTTAAGTTGATTAGTTAGACTGAATTAAGAAACTGAAGGGTCAAGTTACACAAACCATACTTATGTAAGCTTACATTATTTATATTGTTCAATAAATTTCTTAACAAGTGGTGATTTTTAGAGATTTTGATTGGTTGCACGTTTGATCACGACGTGATGTTGGTTAGACAACCATCAAAAACTAGCAGAGAGTTGTTCCGTCATGGAGTGGGACTCCTCATCAATTTGCACCCACCGGAGTTCGAACCCGGGTCTTTATGCTCCTAGATAATCCAAGCACTGTCACCCGATCCAGTGGCATATGGATTCCATTTTTTGCGATTAGCTATATGTAGTGCAACCGCCAATCGGTGTCATCGGCGAGAAACTGCCCTTCTGCCTTACTTGGCAGACCGCACTGGATACTGTTTCCAAGGGGCTGAGTCATCAACGATCTCACATTATTAGCTGAAGATTGTGGGTTTCATCCATAGAATTTGAGTCTTGGATGCATCTGCGTCTGAAGAGTTCCAATCTAGGACGAAATGAGTCTAGTTTATTTCAGGTCATGGTCAAACTGATAACCAATGTTTTTGAACTTGTTTTGCTTTTCGAGTAGAACGCACAACTTAGCAGTGGTGTTCTTTCATACTACATGGCGTTGCTAGCTTGACACCTAACTTTCCGGGCTTTCTATCGTCTAAGTGAGGTTTAGGTGTGCGTTGACTGGAAATCGAACCCGGACCACGTGGGTGGACGGCGAGCATTCTAACATTGAACCACTGACGTGTACGGTCTAACAATAAACTGGCTCACTTAGAAATAAGTAATGTGTTTGTAAGTGGCTATCATATAAGTGTGCAACATATATATCATGCACACACAGTATTGATTTATTACATTTTTTTGTTGTCAGAATTAAAATTAAAACTTAAATTTCTCTGGTTTTCCTACATTTTTTTTC